TGATGTGAGTTTGTTGAAGAATTTTTCTTTTCCATGTAATGTGTATTTGAAAGCCTCAATATGCATGTTAAATTCAAGGTTATTTCTCTGTATTTTTTTTTTTTTGGTACATAGGTTATTTCTCTGTATTTAGATGCATTTAGGCTTGTATTGAATGCTATGGGTCTTATTCGATTTTTCTGCATCTTTCTTCGATTTTTCTGAATGTTTTTGGCCTCGCCGGAATCTGGAAATTCTGGCCGGAATTTCCAGCCGGTTCCGGTGTCTGGAAATGGATCACCGCCGGACTTGATTGGATCCGTGTTTTTTTTTCTTTTCTGTTTTTGGGCCAGGCCGAAGTATTTTTGTCCTTGGTTGGGCTTATTAAAAAACTAAAAGAAAAAAAAAACGAATTAAATGAAGGGTGGGCCCAATATCCTGATTGCTCCATTGGATCGGTGGTTTTGTTTTGTTTTGGGCTAGGCCGAAGTGGGTTTTTCCTTGGTTGGGCTTATTAAAAAAATTCTTTAACCTGTGCCTTATTTTTAAACTTTTTTTATTAATTTGTATGAAAAAAAATAAAAACTGATTTAATTTTTATTAACTCTGTAATTAAATCGTTTTAGGTAACATTGGTATTGAAAATAAAAATAAAGTTTACCTGTGGAATTATTTAGGTAAATTAATGGTAAAAAATTATAATAAAAACGCGCTAAAAACACCCTTTCAAAAACTAAAAAAACCTAATTAAATGAAATGGGCCAGGCCCAGTAACTTTTGCTTTGAGGGCTTTCAAGAAAAGAAAGAAAATCTGCAAATGAGTTTGGGCTTAAGATTCAACTCATTGGTTAAGTAAGATGATTAATTAGACTAATGAAATTTAATCGGTTTTAATTAATTATCTTCATTATTTTTAATTAATTTTAATAAATAATTAGTTAATTAATGTGTGATTAATTTTCAACTCATTGGTTAAGTAAAATGATTAATTAGACTAATGAAATTCAATCGGTTTTAATTAATTATCTTCATTATTTTTAATTAATTTTAATAAATAATTAGTTAATTAATGTGTGATTAATTTAATTAAGATTAATTAAAATAATTAATTTCCTTTAATTAACTTGAATCAATCTAAATTAATTACCTTAAATGGGAGTTTTAAGTAATTAAGTTAAGGAATTTTCTAACCACACAAGTTAAACTTCTTTAAATATAATATTTTAATTAATTTTATATCAGATTTAATTAAAATAAAATATAAAATATAATGTAATATTTATACTCAAATATTTAAAATGAATAAATTTAATATAAAAATTTATATAAAATTAATTGAAAATTTTACATTTAATGAAATTTAATCTATGCCCTAAGCCACAAATTAGACAAATCATTAAGTTAAATCCAAAGTCAACGGTCAATGTTCGCTCCTCTTAGCTTCTGCTTTGGTGCCCATCTTTTTATGATCAAGCAATTAAGTCCTCAATTTCTAATTTGTTTAAGTACCTCAAAACGTTTTGAATCTGTACAGTTTAGTCCCCCCATTTTTCTTTTTTTTTTTGGTTTCCCACCCAGTATCCGAGATTTCGCCCCGACTAATCCGGACCCGACCCGCGTTGCGCACCTGGAAATAATGGGTAAGTCTCCCAGCGGGGGCTGCTGCATACACAAGGATTCGAACTTGAGACCTTATTTAAGCTGGAACAAGCCGCTTACCACTTGATCCAACCCCTCGTTGGTTAATCTCCCCATTTTTGCTTGTTGCAATTTGGCGCGAGTATTGTCAATTCATTTCAATTGAACCCAAAACTTTCAATTCTCATCTTCATACCCATGCATGTTTGACTTGCTTCACTTAAGGCCATTAACTTAAAGAGATATTCGTAGGAGGCTGGGGACGCTAGGTGAGAAGCGGTTGAATTGAGGGAAGGTAATCGGATGGCTGGGGCTCTGTGTCTCCCTCCTCCGATTTTGCCTATAAAAGGGCGAGGGATTTCAGCAGAGGCGAGGGAGCCCAAAAAATTTTTTTTTTTTTAAAAAAGGAGGAAAAGAGGATAGCGAAGAATCTAGGAGATAATTGTGAGTTCGGATTGGAGGAATCAAGAGCAATAGAATGTCCGAGCTTTGTTTTCCGAATCCGAAGGTTACTGCGGACATAGGTATCATTTTGTTTTGATTTATTTTATGTATATTATACCTTGATATTAAATAGAATCTGAGTTTGCTCTTGAATTTGTTGTGAATTTATTCTGAGTTTCATTCGATGTTTACCGTGCATTGGGAATTTCTTGATTTGGACATGAAATTGTGAAATTATCACGTAAAAGGGTTCCGTTGAGCTTGGTTTAGGCTTAGGATCTGTTTTCCTATTTTTACAAAATTTTCTGGAATTTTTCTTGAAATTTTTAAGTTGTCGGAAACTGCGGAGTTGGGCCGGAATTCAGCCGGTGCACCTTTGCAAACTTACTAACCCAACTACTCTGCTGATATCTCAGTTTAAAGAAGTTACTTCATGGTTAGATGATTCTGTCAATAAGTTTGTTGTGATCTCTCTAATGATTTTATGGCATATTTGTGAAGTAAAGCGCATGATTTAACTATCTTAGCCATTTCTATGCCTTTTGCTAGGATTGGTTCTGCAAAAATCTGCCTAGTATGTTAATCTAACTATTAGCCATTGATTGATTAAACTGACTAAACAGAATTTCGGTTATATATAATTAAATTAGTCTACTGGTCTTTAGCTCATAATAACAATTATTGCTCTATAACATCTACTTATTGACGCAGCACAAGCTGGGTTGTAACACTTATGGCTTAAGCCTCTAGCAAAATGCAAAAGAAATTCCCCAAAGCTTTGAAATAAAAGCCAACAAGAAATGAGCAAAAGACTTGGTCACTTACTAGATCTGAACTGCCTAGCCACGCACAAGGATAGCAAACACAAGACAAGAATTCTGAGAGACAAGAAGAGATATATAATGTTTGTGAGAATTCCAGAAAGATTTGATCAGATCAAAGCCAAGAAATGAGAAAAAGACTCACCAGATTCGGAATGCTTAGTAGCTACACAGAAGGATTGCAAACGCAAGAGAATTAATTCTTCTGAGAAACAAAAAGAGATTGTATTTGTGAGATAAATAAGTTGAGATTACCAGATATATGATGGCATTAGTGTGAATGTTTGGACGCACTGCTTTCTCCTTGTTTCTTTCTGTTGGAGTTTATGGTGGTAGATTTCTCTCAAATCACTCTCATACAGGCCCTCAAAGATCATGAAAGGCTCTGATACCATGTTCAAGTTTTTCACAAAGAAAAAAAATGGAGAGAACATCGGTAGGAAGATGAAGAGCAGAACCCAACTAAAAAATGGAGAGAAAACCAGGAGGAGCATAAACGAAAATGGAGAGGAAGTATATTACTTCAACTCAAGAGATATCATTGATATTTTACTGCATTTATAGCAGAAACAATACAATAAAAAAACAATTTTTTCTCACCTAACATTTTACCCAATACAATAAAATATTAAGCATTTAAAACAAAAGATTACATTCAAAGATTTACTGCCATTTCTTGTAGCGCATGTGAAGCTCCATTGTGCTGTCACTTTGCTGCTACTCTGTAATCATGTTGCAGCTCTCACGTCTTTCCATTTGCTGCTACTTTGGCAGCTTGAACACCACAACTCCAACACTTTCTGCTTGTGCTTCCTTGGAAACCAAAATAGCTGTTTTCAAAGTTTGTAGGGCCATAGCAATGGAATTTTTCTGTGATATTTTTTCCCTTTTGCTTAGCTAATCTTACGTTTTCTTGCACGAGGAAATTAAATCAGATTGATCCTAGAAACTCCTTAGTATAGAGAAAGAAAATTATTGAAGGACAAGGACGGAATGGGACCAGATATAAGGAGTGACTACTTTATTATCAAATTTTCTACCTTTCACTTTCCAATAAAAGAAGATAGAAAAATAAGAAACAATGTTGAGGGTAGAAAACCCACATTAAAAATAACAATAAGCAATATGTGAGTTCAATATAATAAAAAATATTTTATATATTTGTATTTAATTTTAAATTAAATATAAATTTTATTTTAAAACTCATATGTATGTTTAATATTTCATTCTTAAAAAATTTTATAATAAAATCTACATTGAAATTCACCTTACAAGACTTAAAATTAATGGCATGTTAAATTTTCATACCCAAAAGTATATATCGCAGTCGAGCAAGAAAGACGGGTATCAAATTTTCTTCCTTTGACGTATTTTAGGAAACCACTCTATAAGAAATGTGGGACGGCAAGTTACACTGGGACTTGTCCAAACTCTGCCTTTCTTTACGGGATTCACTTTCAAGAAGCAAGAAAGATCGGCATCAAATTTTCTTCCTTATCAACGTATTTTTCTAAACCACTCTATGATAAATGTGGGACAATGAGTTACACTTAGACTTCATCCAAACTCAGCCTTTTTTTATGGGTTGACATAGGGGTGTTTACATCCTATCTGATCCCATTGATTTGATTTAAATTGATTCAATTTAATAAAAAATTAAATTAAATTGATTCAATTTAATAAAAAATTAAATCAAATTGATATAAAATTAAGTTGATTTAAAATTTTAAAACTAATATAATTAGTTTGGTTTGTAATTTTACTTTCAAACTGTCAGAATCACCCGATTACAAAATAAAATCTGATTACACAATAATTTAATTAAATAATATAGTATATTTTTTGTAATATTTTAAATTTTTTCTTATTTTATAAGATGATAACTTCATTGACTTAATTTAAAAATACAAATAAAATATCCCTATATTCTTTAATTTATTTTCTTTTATAAATTGTGCACTTTAACCTTAATTCTAAATTTCTAATTCTAAATTTCTAATTCACTTGCAATTCTATTTCTTATAAGTAGTCTATAACTTTATTTTGAGAATTCTCAATTTTTAATTTATTCTTAAAATAATATTCTAATTCTCTTAACTAAATTTTAAGAAATATCATTGTAAAAGTTTTAAAACTATATAATATAACTAATTTTGATATTCTACTATTTTTGGATTTTTGGTTAAGAAGTTTTAAATTTTAATTATGAATGTTGCTAATAATTCCTAATGACATTTATATTAAATTTTAATTGCTTTTAACAAGGTTTGGAAGATGGGATTGAATCATTTACAGCATTAAGAAAAAAAAATTAGTTTTAACCTTTAAAAATTACTTGCACTATATTTAAAATTTAAAGTTATATTATATTATCCTTGATACCTCTAGTGATGTAGTCAAAAAGAATTTTCAAATCTTTTCGATCTTTGCAATTGTAAATGAGTATAAGAACTTGTTTATAATTTGTGCATTTTATTATGTTTCTAATAATTTGGATATTAATATATTTTATAGTTATATTTT